TTCCAGCAAAGACGTGAGGAATTAGTCACTTGTTGAGTTCCCTCTTTGGGGGTGGTGAATTTTGCCACTTCTCAAGGCTTTCACGACTGCAGAGCACTCAGAAAAGAGCTGGTGGAAGAGGGGGACCCCTCCAGTCACTTCTGGGAGGGAGATTTTCGTGCCTCTTTGCAGCAAGATCTTACAGGAATATTGAGATTTGCCTCCCACAAGAAGCTTCGTGGTTTCAGTGACACACAAGAGCGACCAGGGGGAGAAGAGGGGCTGTAAATAAGTAAAATTGGGTTTCCCACCTATTGTCCTTCCCATGTGGATACTGCAACTGGGAAACAGAAAAACTTCTGGGAGAGAAAGAAAAACCAGCTCTGCTAAGAGAATGAGTTTTTTCATTGTCTATTAAGAAGAGTCCCCAAACTGTGATTTCTCCTTCCAGCACAGGGAATTTGTAAATAGCTGGGGAAAACAAAGCAAAGCAAAGCAAAACAAAACAAAAAGTCCTGAATGTTTTTCTTTTCTATCCTTGGTAAAACAAATGTTTTAGAGGTAAACCACCCTAGGAATTAGGCTCTCCTCTGTGATGCTAAAGGAGGCAAATGCTGCAAGGAGGGGAATAACCTCATTTTGTCACAGGGGACTGCTCAGATCTCTCAGAATCCAACTCCTCAAGTGTCTCTTTTCTCATTCATACCTCTTCTCACACACACCATGGATGGAGCTTTATGACTTTTGTCTGCTGAGTGATGCATCTCAGCACAGGATGTCCCTGACTAAGGATTTATCCCCGAGTTCTTGGCTTGCTGCAGCAGAACCCCTTCCTTCCTGTGCCTGGGTGTCCCCATCTGCACACAGGAGCAGTGACACCGATCTTTGAGAAGCCCTTGGAGCTCTGAGTTGATGAAAAGGTTCACAGGAGAGGAGGTTGTTGTTGTTATTGTTGTCTGCAGTTTAAAAACATGCCCATAAATCACCTTTGAGCGATGGGGAAGCAGGTTCCAGATTGGCTCCCGAGCTGGGTGAGTGAACAGAGAAGAATTTCCTTCTTTGGCATTTTCCCCTAGTTTTAATAACTTTGAACTCTTGCTTTAGATCTTGTTTACATTAGGCTGGTTTAGTAACTGTGTGACTCCCTCCAGCAATTGTCTCCTTCTTCCCCACCTTCCTCAGGTATTTGGTTTAGGTACCAAACATCTGACTCAGGCCTTCCTGGAGAATGGCTGAGCAGGGGTGGATGGAAGAAGAAATTATTTTTCCCAGTTGGAAAGTAGAGGGACTTAACAGGGGAAAGAGGTGGAGGCCGTGACTGTCATGGACAAGGGCCCTGGGAACATAAAAGTCTAGGCTGTTACCACACCCTGTTGAAATGTTAAACACAAACTGTACAGATGGGGTGTGCTAACAGTGTTGGGGTCAGGGGATGGCAGTGGGTCCTTTTAGGATGTACAAGCTCAGAGGGTGCAAAGCTCAGCTCTGCTCTGTTCTGGGGTGGCCTCGCCTTGAGTCCTGGGGGTGTTTTGGGCCTCACGATCTAAAAAGGATGTAAAGGTGTTGGAGAGCGTCCAAAGGAGGGACACAGGGATGGTGAAAAGCCTGGAAGGGTCATATGAGGAGTGGCTGAGGCCACTTGGCTTGTCCAGCCTGGAGGGGACTGAGGGGAGGTTCATTGGGGGCTGCAGCTCCTCCCGAGGGGCAGCTCCGACCTCTGGGAGCAGGGACAGGACCCAGGGAAGGGCTGGAGCTGGGACAGGGCAGGCTCAGGGTGGATCTCAGGACAAGGTTCTCCCCCCAGAGGGTGGTGGGCACTGACCAGGCTCCTCAGGGCAGTGGACACGGCCCCAAGGCTGCCAGAGCTCCAGGAGGGTTTGGACAACGCTCTGAGGGACAGGGGGGAGTGTTGGGGTGTCCTGGGCAGAGCCAGGGCTTGGACTGGATGAGCTTTGGGGGTCCCTCCCAGCTCAGGATATTCCATGATTCAACCATTTAATCCCATGTCTGCAAACAGTGACTCAGCCTGATTTCCAGCTCCTGGCCCAGGAAACACCTCCCCATTTCCGCGGGGCAGACAGGGGGAGCATCCCCTCATCCCGGGGGGGGACCACATCCCCTCTCCGCCGGGCAGAGGACGCGGGGAGGCAGCGAGCGGGGTGACAGCGGCGCCCGAGGCAGCGGGACAGCCGGGAAGGGCTCCTCGGGACAGCCGGGAAGGGCTCCTCGGGGCTCCTCCTGCGACCCGCTGGATTCCCCGGCAGATGGAGCTCGGCTCCCAGCGATGCTGCCTCAGCCCTCCCTCGGGATCCCACCACCGACCTACAACACTTATCCCAACGTCTGACCACTCTTGTAGGGAAAAACTGTTCTGATCTCCGATCTGACCCTGCCCTGGTGCAGTTTGAGGCCATTCCCTCTCCTCCTTTCCCTTGGACATGGCAGCAGAGCCCGACCCCCCTCCCTGCCCCCTCCTGTCAGGGAGCTGGGGAGAGCAATGAGGTCCCCCCTGAGCCTCCTCTTCTCCAGATAAACCCCCTCAGCTGGTGGGATTTCCTCTGGACCTGGAGCCACTCCCCTCCTGACATTCCGGGTGGTCAGTGGGACTGGAAGGCACCAGAGGTCGGGGTTTGGGATTTATTTATTCTCAGGCTGCCCTTTCCAAGGGTTCTCACCCCCCAGGCAGCCTCAGGGCCCCTCAGAGCTACAAGAAACTGGTGTTGAATACAAGTAATTATCATAAGAATCATAGAATGTTAAGGGTTGTGAGGGACTTTAAATATAATTTAGTGCCAACTTCCCCTGCCATGGACACAGACACCTTGCACTAGCCCAGCACTGAGTAGGGGCAGTGAAATCCAAGGAAGAAAAGGCTCCAGCACAGAGCTGAGACGAGGTGGATTGTTTTAAAGCTTCTGACAATGCCAGATCTCTAGACCTGAAGGAAGAAAATATTCTTGCCTTAGTTTTCCTGTAAGAGGCTTTTCCAATTATCTGAGCCCTCACGTGGCAGGAAGGTGTTGTATGGCTGGGCTTGGGCCCATTCCCAGAGAATCCTGACCTTTCCAGGCGTACAGGCCAGCTGCAAACATGCCAATCAGACATCCAGACAAATCCAAAAATCCTTATGGGGAACAAGTTTCAACAAGTCTTGATCAAAACTGCCAGGAGCCATAAACACATCCAGATGGGAAATAGCTCAGAACTACTTCCCGCTGCCACCTTAGACCCGGAGGCCTGGAAAATGTTGGAAGTTGACTGTGTATCAACTCATAGGCTGGGCTGTCTGCAGGATTGGGCTGGGGCTGGAATGCCAACAGTGCATCAGGAGCCCCGGCAGGAAGATGGGAAGGGCAGGAATCAGTGCTGGGCCCAGTTCTGTTTAATATCTTTATTGATGAGTTAGATGAGGGGATTGAGTCCATCATCAGCAAATTCGCAGATGGCACCAAGCTGGGGGGGAGTGTCAATCAGCTGGAAGGCAGGAGGGCTCTGCAGAGGGACCTGGACAGGTTGGAGAGTTGG